AATGCCGAGTGGGAAGTTATAATGAAATTCCTCTTTGCCCATAGAAAAGACAGTGTCACGATCTCTTGTCTTTCCTCCGTCACCTTACGACTCTGGAGCGGTTCTCGGCGTGATTTTCTGTTTTCCGTATGAAAAGAGCTTCACGCCTGAGGAACCGAGGTTTCCATGCAGCCGCGGGAATCTCATTCCACTGCACGACCATTTCCTCGAAAACAAATCGCCGTGACGAGATGAGGGATGTTAGCACGGGGATTTAGACCCGGGAGCCTTCTCATTCGTAGACTTGACTTTTGAACTTGGCCCAATGCGCAGGAAATTTTTCTTCTGGTAGACGAAATTTTACTTCTAGTGGCAGCAGGGGGTTTTCAGCGGGAGGAATCCGACGCTTTTGGTGTCAGCCGACCGGTTCTCGTCCAGGCGAGGCGCGGGCCGAGGCGGCCGCGCTGGACGGTGCCTGCCCGCGTCGTAGTCACCGTGCCGTCCTCGGCACGCTGACCGAGGCTTTCCGAAGCTGCTCCAAGACGCGTGGCTCGGAAAACCGCCTCTGTAGCCGAGTAAGAGTGACTTAGGCTGAGACTGGGGAGCAAAATGGATGGGAGAGCCAGAAGTCCTGACTCACTCGAGTCTGCGGCGGCCCCTCCCCAGCTGGCCAGGCCGCCTGCACGCCGTCCACCGAAGGGACCGTGGTTGGACTGGGGGGCGTTAGGAGGGCCCCAGAGCCCTCTCACTCTGCTCGTTATGGTCCTTTTGTCATGAAAGAGCCTTCTTCCCTCAGACCCTACCACTGCCCTAGAAACTTACTTTTAAGGAAAGTTCGTGGCACTAATTCAGGCCCCACATTTTCCAGCTGAAGAGACTGAGCTTATGGGAAAGTTAAAGGTCGTCCCCGTGGTCACAAATATGGATCCAAAATTTGTTGTGAAAAATTCCCTTTTATGGTCATGATAATTTGTGAAAGCTAGAAAGCCAACTTTCTTGGGGGAAAGCAAGACTAAATCTGGAATACACGAGGGGGGAGTTAGCAGGACCCCGTTACAGGGCATCTTAATTTTCTCTTATTTGACTTTGTAATTTTCTAAGGCGAGAGGACTTTCAAGTGTCACCACTGTGAGTCTACCTTTAAAAGGAAGGACACCTTAAACGTTCACGTCCAGGTGGTCCACGAGAGGCACAAGAAGTACAGATGCGAGCTGTGCAACAAGGCGTTCGTGACGCCCTCCGTGCTCCGAAGCCATAAGAAGGTGAGCGAGGCCCTCTGGGAGTGTGCGTGGACGGCACGGCTAAGCGCTGTGGGCGTATCTGTTACTCACCACGTGATGGTCAGTTTTACGTTAACTTACCACCATGTTTACTCAAGAGGCATGATTTATATCAACTGTTCAGAAAACGTCTGTTCTTCATTTTTTTTTTTCAGAGAAAAAAATACGTTTTTTACATGAAAACAAACATGGAGTTCTGTTATGACTCCACCCCGCCCTGACCTCTGCCGACAGATGGTCAAAGTACTAGCCAGTGGGAGCTTATCAATTTTTATAGATTTTTGGGTTAACACTGGTCTTTTTTTTTTTTTTAAGGGAATTTGAATGGTGTCTTAATAATTTTATTGTTCAAAGCTAATTCGGATGTCGATCGCCACTTGTAGCCGAACTCTTCCTGGACTGAAGGGTCCTCCATCTCCAATCTCTAGGACCCAGGAAGGTCCCCAGCAGGCCCTTCATGAGTTTTTGCTCAACTCAACCCAAACGACGTTCCTGGTTTGGATATTGTCCTTTTTGTTCTCTATTAGTTACCTCAAGCAAATCCGCAGGTTATTTTCGTTTGTTAAATATGTACATTGTAGGTACATTTTTAAGAGAGCAAAATTCTTACTGTAACGAACACAGCGAAAGGTTTTAATGCGGACTTTAGAAATGAGTGCAGCGAGGTGGTTTCCTGCTCCCCGCGTGGGCTGCCGAGCGACGTGAGACGGCGCTGCCACTTCGGGGTGCGTGTTTGTGGGGGTGGGGGCCTGGCCTCCACACGCCTGTTTGAAAAGGAGTGAACGGAGCGACCGTCTCTTCCCGCAGCTTTAAGGCCCAGTGATCACGCCATCATCTTCCCCTCTCAAACCTCAGAGGAGTCTTCCAACTCCCTTTGCTCGAATCACCTTTTCTTTGCATGAATGTAACAAACGTCCCTTGTGTTTCAGTCAACGAGGGAGCAGTATAGTGAGCTTTCAGGAGAGACGCTGTCGTCGTCCGCAGTAACGGGACGTCGAGTAGATTTCCCAGGGCATGGTTCATGTCGTCTCGCTCATCGACACCGTTTTCAGTGGTCTGTCTCCATGCTTTCTTAGCCATTTTTAAGATTTTTAGTATTATACCTTCAGCGTCTGTTAGAACCAGCTAACCAAATTCTGCATCTAATAAGATATACGTTTTTTAAATTAAAACAGAGGCACATTTTAATTCTTTGCATTGATATAGCTTTAATATCCTTTACCTACTCTTGGCAGGTAAGTTAGGTCATGTAAGTGAACAATGAAATACTTAGTAGCAGCAAAAGAAATCATGTTATAAAGACAAATGAAGATATTTATTGCAGTTGCCTGCTTGGAATAATCCAGTGTTGTAGTAATAGATACCTAGAATTTCTGAACAACTTTACACTATTAAAGAATTGCTGCATTTTGCCCTTTCTGTCAGGGAATGAGAAGAGCATAGGTCTGTGGTGTGTTAAAATGTTGCGACATTGACTTTAAGTGGAGCCACAGTGTGGCAATGGCTGTCACTGGTGTGAAGAATGTGCGGCCGTTTTGTGTAAGAACATGTAGCGAAAGTGGACGGTTCGGTGCCTGCCACGTGAAGACGCAACGGGACATCTGTGATGGAGAGTGGCCTGGGCCAGCGTGGCAGCTGATTAGACAATAGTTCTCAAACCTGAGTATTATAGAAGCCCCTTTCAAAGGCAAAACAACGTAAAGGACACTGATGTCGACCGATGTATTTACTTCATAGCTCTTTAAAAAATTACAAATGCGATAGTAACATCTAAATACAAGATTATGACTCAAATGTGAAAACTTACAAATTAAATACCAGTAAGGCTACAACACCAGTTACATTACGTTTAACAATCAAGTTAATACGGAACATGAAAATGTTGTGCTGATCGGTGCTTCTTGGAGGTGTCAGGTGGTGAGGTGATTCCCCCCACTTTTTTCCCTCTGGGAAAGTGTCATTAAAAAAAAAATCTCCTATTCTTTGCCAGTCACTTGCATAAAAACAGATGCAAACACAGGCCCCAGGAACTCTGTTCGGTGATGTCCCCTCAGATGACCCCGCTGCTTTGCTCGATGTTAAATCATCATTGAAATTAGAAAATTCTAAACCCGTTTCCCGGAGAATGCAGGATGCCGGAAGTAACTGTCTTCCTCTCCTTTCTTTTCCCCTTTTCCCGAGTTGGAAAGCCGTGGGGCTTGAAGGGGCTCCAACCCTCGCTTGTTCTGGAACGGCCTGCGTGGGTGTGAGACAAGCTTGCAACGCTCGATCTGTCTCCTCTTTCTGGAGAGGTCGTTGGGCTTTCCTTGAACTCTCTAACATTTTATCGAAAATCGCTTTAAAAAAATCCTTTCACTCTAAAAGTTGCAGGTGTGTGGCGTTTTAATTTGACATTGTGCATTTACGAAGGGGTCACCACCACAAGTCCGGTTACCCTGTGTCACCATACAGGTCGCCCCTTCGCCCACTCCGTCCCCCCAGCCCACTGAACACCACCGCTCTGTTCTCTGTATCTATGACGAGCTTGTTTTCATTTTTTTGCTTTGTTTGCTCATTTGTTTTCCAGATTCCACATATGAGTGGATTTTATGGTATTTGTGGTTCTCTGGTTTATTTCATTCAACATAAGTCCCTCCAGGTCCATCCGTGTTGTCACAAAATGGCAAGATTTTATTTTATTTTTTGTTTCTCAGTAGTAATCCATTGCACGTATCAGCACATCTTCTCCATCTGTTCCTCTGTTGATGGATATTTAAGTGGTTTCCTTACCTTTGCTATTGTAAATAATATCGACACAAGAGGAGGGGTAGCTTCGGTTTGTGTCGTTCTATTTCTAACTTTTCGAGGAGCCTCCACGCCCGTTTTCACGGTGGCCGCCCCAGATTACATCCCACTGACACCACACGTGGGCTGCATCTTGCCACGTTCTCGCCAGCACTTGGGATTTCATGTCTGACAACATCCATCCTAACAGGTGCGAGGCGTCAAAGCTCGCCTTCGATGACACTCATTTATCTGTCCTTATGTCGTTGTTGTTGTGGTTGTTGTTGTTTATGCCCAGATAAAAGATATGTTCAGGGCAGGAATGTTCTTTCAAATCGGCTGCTCAATTAGTAGCTTCTGATATCGAAGGTCAGATCAGATTTATATTCCTCTTTGCAACAAAATTAGCCCAGTCGGACAATCATAGTGCAAGTAGCAGATGACTTTATCAAGGTTAATTCTGTCCTCAAGAGTTAAATGCACCCAAAGAATGTGAAAATGCCCCTCAGGAAACGTGTCTTGGCAACAGTAAACCAGCAGCTGTCGCCTCGTTCTGATTATGTGGTTTTGCTAGCGTACACTGGTTTTGAAAATTTAATCGTTTTGAGATGGGGGCTCTATAAAGGCTTAAAAAGTAAACTGCAGAATTATTTTCAAATTAACGCAAATGTACAATTTTAAGGTTTGGTTTTTTTTTTTAAACCAGCGGGAATACCCATGATAAATGGTTTAAAATCTCACTGTGATATTAAATCATTTTAAGGCAACATAATCCTGGAAGAAAGGATTTGGTCAGAGGCACTTAATCATGCTGACCTAACTCCTTCTATGTCTCCTCAACCCCCTTCACCCCACCCCACGCAGACACACACGGGAGAGAAGGAGAAAACCTGCCCATACTGTGGCCAGAGGTTCGCCAGCAGCGGGACGCTGAGGGTTCACATCCGCAGCCACACAGGTAGGCAGTCACACAGGTGGGCGGCCACGCAGGTGGGTGGGCACGCAGGTGGACGGGCACGCAGGTGGGTGGCCACGCAGGTATGCGGGCCATGCAGGTGGGCGGCCACGCAGGTGGGCGGGTACGCAGGTAGGCGGACGTGCAGGTAGGCGGCCACGCAGGTGGGCAGCTGTGCAGGTGGGCGGCCATGCAGGTGGGTGGGCACACAGGTGGGCAGCCACACAGGTAGGCAGGCCACGACTGGTGGCGAAACCAGCTTGGGGGAGTCAGGTGCTCCCAAGGAGACCCTGTACCACAGAGCATCTCCCAGATTCAGGATTAATCTTGGCTCTTTTCTGTGGAGTTTTACAAAATCCAATTTCTTGGGCTAGACACCTTCCGAATGTGTAAACTTTCTCAAACTAAGTCAAGTATGTAAAGTGGATCGGCGTGGTGAGTGGTCGCGACAGAGCTGTGATTTCATGCGCACGCGAGTCTGCCGGATGCAGTGGGGGACGGCCCTTCGCTTTTGCAGGAGGCCGGGGGTCTCCTCTTACAGGTGCCTAGTGGGAACCTGACAAAGCGCCGTCCTCTGGAACCTAAAACCGTCTCGATGAACGTCTCCTGCTCCGTTACTCTGAAATCCGTCGGCGGGTCCGGCTCGCCTAACGCCGTTGCCCGCATGTGATGCGTGCAGGTCATCGGCACGCACCGCCGCGGGCTGAGGTTTTGTAGAGGTCGCGCCGTCCGCTCCCTGTCTTCCCGTGATGGCGAAGGAGTCGGCTTCGTTTTGTTTTCATAGTCCTCAAACTGCCCGTCCGCGTTTTGGGGGGCGAATTCTCTTTTTTAGCATCGGCGGACAGACCCGAAGGTTCACGGAGAGGAGATGCAGCGCCGGCTGGCGCGCCCTCCTCCCTTTGCCACGCGGGGTCCTTCGCCCCCTCCCGCCTCCGGGCCCACGGAGCAGCTTGTGTGGCGTTGCAGGCAGTTTCCTTCGTGCGACTTTCTCAGATCGGGTCTGTCACTGGCTCGGGACTGACGGTCATAAGCCAGTGCCGGCTTAGCTGTTGGGTCGCTGCTGCCCGTCTGTCAGTTCTGGGCCGAATCGCACTGTCTCCGTCTCGGCGGAGATTTCTTGCTAATGGTGTTTAACGAAAACATGTCAGACATTCCTCTGGCTCCTTCGCGTTCCGGTCGTTTTCTCCTTCACGGCTTCACATAACTGCTCGGTTGTATCCGCGCTTCCTCTGTCTTCTCTGTCCCCTCCGTCTTCGTCCTGTGTCCCCGTCCCCACTCTCCTGTCCTGCGAGGGTGACGTCCGACAAAACTCTGGTGGTTCCATTAACTTCGAAAAGATTCTCTTTCATAAACTTTGTATCCACTCATTCTCCGTAATTAGGTGATTAGAACAAAGGCACTGCACAGCGAGCGTGCGTAAGACATCTGCTTATTTTATTAGGTTATTAAAATAAAGTATTCTTGACTTTTAGAACAGGAAGGAGTTTCAGAAGGTTTCTCGTTCAAGCCTCTTACTTGAGCTAACGCCCAGCAAAATACGATGGGTTGCTGAGGTTCCAACCTGTATGCGGTTCGTCGAGAGTGAAAGCGAGGCTTCAGCCGTTCCCAGGGCTGGTATTTTTATTTCTTATTCTCTAACGTGCCTCCCACCCCTGACTGTTGCTCTTGAATGTACCACGGGATTGCGCGCATGCCTTCCGTAACATTCAGCGATATTATCTCGATACATCGGCTGATCGAGGGTAATAACCTCGACTTGGGGCTGCGGTTTGCTACTTCCAGTCTCACCGAGGACGTCACTCCACACGTGAGGACTCGCCCAGCCCCAAACCCACCGTCCGTAGCACCTGTCACTGAATGCCTGGTCCGTATGTAGCACGTGGACCCTGCAGGCAGCTGACAGGCTTCGTGACTCCATTTTATTTACTGTCTCCCTGTGTGAGCTTTGGTAAATGGCTCAATCTCTTTGAAGCTCAGTTTCCTCATCTGAAAACCGGGGGTGACGTGAGGATAGATAGCCCCGGCTTCCTGGCGGCGTGTCCGGGAACGCATGGGGGTGCTGTAGAGCGTGCGAGCTGTGGCCGCCGTTGCTGCCCACGTCGCTGTTTGGTTTTGTCGCTCCCGCCTGTGTTTAATCAGGGTACTCGCGCCCCTGGACGTACGGGCTGACCCTCTATCCCCAGCGTCATCGTCACCGTCATCGTCTCTTTCGATAACCTTTAGCCACAGCATGTCGATCACGCATAAAACATCGGTGGGGATTCGCCATCACATGGCTGGTTGGGGGTGAGTGAGGGTGCACGCTGTCGCCGTCAGTGATGCCGAGCGTGCCGTCTGTGCCTGGCGGGCCGCCCTGCAATTCATCATCCGGTTCCCTATGCCAGCGTGACGGGGTGCCATTCTGCCGGCAGCTGCAATAGGAGTGTGCATTCTCCTCCTGGTTTACAGCGCCTCGGGGTCAGTGAGAGCTGGGGTTAATTCCACAAGGGAATCCGCGGGCTGTGACATGAATTCCATCAGTCGTTCGTAAATTATGAAAGAAATTCTAGGAATTGCTTTTGGGGTTTTAAAGCCCGAGGCCAGAAGGTTAATTACCTGCCTACAGCTCCAACCAACTTTCTGTGTTAACAGACACCGGCTGTGTAGGTCCTTCTGCTCTAGGCTTGCGTGCACAGTTATTTGAATGTAGTAATAAATCACTGTCCTAGGAAACTTTTAGCGTTTTTCGTAAATACCTGCGATCGGCTTAGAAAATGAAGGCTCGGGATGTAACAATTTGACTGCGCCTGGATTTTCTTTCTTGTCTTTCTTCTCTGATTGTCTCTCTTCTCGAATACTTTTTCTAAAGGAATTTATTCATTTTAGAAAATTTGTTCACAGTTTTAAAAATAGTTTGAATTATAAATAACTATAGGGCAATATGACAGATATTAACACATAAAAATAGAAAATTAAAGTAATTATAAAATGAAAATATAAAGCATGTTTTTCACATTTTTATAAGACTTAGATAACCTTCATATGATGAAAGGGAATTTATTTTGCTGTATTTATTTCCTAAGTGGTTATTTACTAACATTAGGCCAAATCGAAGGTTCTCTTCCCTGAGATAATCTCAGCTTTAACAGAGTCGTTGAGAGTCAGATGCGCATAGAAATACATGATTTCATCAGCGTCCCACTTGGGGACCCTCAGATCTCCCCTAAGATGTCTTATTCATAAGTAAAGTCTGAAATGATTATTTTTCCTCTGCGTTACTTTGACACTTCAAATAATTTCTGATCACTGAGCATATCAGAGGAATGCACGATTTCTTCCTCTTTTTTTTTTTTCTGTCCTCAGCTGCTCCCAATTGCTCCCAGTGGATTTTGGGTTTGACAAAAATATATAACAACTCAGGAGACGTTAGTTTTGACTTTCATTGGTAGTGTGATTATCTTGCTTTTCTCTCATCAAAAATATCAAACACCCTCATTTTTTTAATGCAAAAATTATAGTGCTTCTGTGAAAGCGTGTCGTAGGCTGGGCTGTGAGGCGCAGGGGGCAGATTAAGGGAGCGACATTGTCTTGGAATATCATGTTATGAGCAGTCACCAAATGAATTGATAAGATAGTCACTGGACCCTAATAAGAGGGATAATTTAAAATATACCATTGTTCACGTAACTCTTTTTACCATTCATTTTTTAAAAATATATTGAGATCCTCAAACACGGAAGTGGCCTCAGCAACAGGTTTCGTAGCTGCATTTAAGCAGCTCTAGGATCCGTTGGTAAGTGATTAGGTAATTTACTCACCGCGTCCTCTGTTAAACCCGGAACAGCCCCGTTTTCCGTTTTCCATTTGCTCTCGTCCGACGCGTGCTTTCTCCCGCCTTTCCCCGCGAGAACAGCGAGCGCCCGGTGTGTTTTTCTGCAGCTCTGAACTGTGCTCCGGGCTGAGCGAGGTTTTTTAGCTCCTCACGTGTCGAGTGTCTCGCTGCTCGGAGTCACGTGCTCTGAGTCTTCCTCGCCGGCTGCACTCGCGGGGGGCCCCTCTGGGGCTGGCACCCAGGTTCCACTGCCTCATCACAAGCCGTGCTCGGAGGCACTGGGTCGGATAAGACTCCTGGCAGAAACTCCTGGAAACGGGGCCGTGCTGGGTGAGAGTGTGGAGGTTCCCAGCCAAGCCAAGCCCATCGTCGCCCGACCTGACCTCGCTTTCCTGCCCGACTGCGAAGTGTCCCTTCTCATAGCCGCGGATCTGGGTCTCTTCCTCGGTCAGAACCTTCAAACTCTGCCAGTATCCGGGTCGTCCCGGTGTTTCTCCTGGCTGCGTGACAGTCCCCGTGGCTTCCGGCAGCACCCACATCAGGGATCTCACGTGGGAGTCCTGCCCACTTCAGGAGAATATCAGGTGACGGGCGTCATTGGTACCCTGGGCTGGCCAAGGCCAGACTGTCCTGCGTTGAGAATCTCTTACTTTCTCTCCCTAGGTAATGACATTTTTAAGTTATTCGCTAACTCTTGTGCTTCTCCGTTATGCATCTTATCCTGTGATCCGTTCGCATCAGCAGAATTCTGCAACCTGTAAACAGGTCTGGCTCTTTATTCTTTGAGATGAGGACGTTGAGCACGTGGCCGTCCAGCGCCTGCTCCCCAGTGAGCTGCACCCCGTTTGGCATGGCTTCAGAATGAGGGGGGTCCTGCAGCTGTAAGGCCGCTGGGGAAGAGGCCGCATCTTTAACTTTTTTATAGCTCTCTCCATAAACCTTGCAAAAAATAAAAAATAAAAATCAGACTCGATTTGTTTTGACTTGTGTATTAAAAGTATTCGGAGACGTAAAGATCTTGTCCAGTCACTTTCTGATTTTATATTTTATGGCCCACTTCCTTACGATAGTAAACTCTGGAAACTTTTTAAAAGTAGAGTATCTCCCTAAATATTCCAAGAGTAAACGTCAAGTTCGGATTTCTGTTCTCTTTCTTTCAAAGATGGTGTCGTCGGGTTTAACTTCTCTAGGT